ACCTGTTTTAGTAAAAATTCAATATCTTGAGCTACAAAGCTCCAAATTGAGTACCGTTTGGACCTATGTTAAGATAATATATAAGGATACAACTCTGTAAAATTTCGTAGCCATTGGATAAGTGGTTAGATCGTAGTGTCAATTTTAAGTCGCGTTTTGGTTGCCGGAAATTCCGTTGGCAGCAGTCACCTTGCGTAAAACATAACCGGAGTTATACAACTCCGATTGAGACATATAATATGTCGTTGTAAAGCTGGAGATGTCTAGTATAACATATTAAAATCTTAGAATTTTCGGTAGAAATCTGCAATTAAAGTTTTAAAAAGAGTAAACGCAGTTTAATGCTTAAGGTTTTGAGAAAAGCTTGCAGTAAGCGAAAATGAGAAAGAAAACGTATTCCTTTTGACATGAATTATAGAGCATGAGTATTGCTGATATTTCTGGTATAAACAGATTGTGATTGTGCTGTTTGGTGACCTTGTGCTAGTGTGGACTTAGGCTTGGATTGATTGCTTAGAGGTAAGCTTTCGTGTCCTCGGATTGATCTATTGCTTGTTCCACCGACCTCCATGGGAGGGTGGTTTATATGCATGTATGTTTTTATGAAAATGATATATGCATTGATATACGCCTAAGACATGTTGATATAACTTTTGATGTAATGTATGAATGTCATGTTAGTACTTGTACGATCAGGCAGCCACCCTGGTGTGCAAGGCATATGTAATGTATGAATGTGATGTAAGTACTTGTACGATCAGGCAGCCACCCTGGTGTGCAAGGCATGAGGCAGCCTCCCTCATGTTGGTAGGTTACAGACGTGTATAAACCCTATCTTTTTCCTGGCCAGTCGAACCGCACTTCCATACATCACATGATTAATAAGTTGTAGTACTTGGCTCGTTGAGCAAGAGATTAAAATGTCATGATATAAATGCCTTAACATGAACATGCATTGAAAATTACTATTTTTAAACTTATATTATACTTGTAAGTGAGCTTGGGGCGGAAGAGTCCTTGAGGACCCCTTGCCTTACTGAGATTTCTATTTAGAGATCTCACCCCACGTTTGGGGAACATTTTCAGGTTCAGGTAACACGGGGGATGATACCTCGGGCGGCAGGAGGCCGGAGCTTAATTGATTGACGCATGTTGTTATTACTGATTTATCTGGTTGCTGACTATGCTTTATCTCCATTCTATTGTTATCCTTGTTGAGACTTTGTTGGGCTTGTTGCCTTATTTGGTGAGCATGAGGATTGTCCATGCCACATTGATTGACTCGGTTTTATTTTAGAATTTAGTTGTATAATTGTATCAGGATTTGTCCGGACTACGTGTGTAGATCCGTGATTTAGATACACACTTATTTATTTAATGAGGTATTTCAGTTAGTTGTTTTATTGCAATTTACATACAGGCAATGTTTTGAAAAAGGATTGATTAATCAACTTGGCTAATAATAATGACGTCATAATTGAAAAGAAAAAGTTACTTCCACATTTTAACTAAGCGTGGCTTAATACGATTACATGATAACAAACCGGGTATACACGGGATGTTACACTCTACTCCTCCTGTGGACACTGATTCTATTCAGTTATCTTTCCCTGCCAACTCCTTTGAATACCTTCCGTCTTTACCAGTCCATGTTTATGACTCTCCATTAGTCACCTATTTTCCTGGTGAGTTACAACATGGTTCACCAGATGTTTTTGTGGGCTCGCATCCGACTGCATCTCCTCCCTCAGCTTTAATCTCATCTTCGGCTAGTGACCTTTCCATTGATCTTCATAAAGGTACACGTGATACTCGCCCTCTGGCAAGGCATACAATTAATATTAGTTACCATCGTCTTTCTCCATCATATTATGCATGTCTTTCTTCTTTGTCTTTTGTGTTTATTCCTAAGACTACAGGTGAATCACGTTCACATTCTGAATAGAGACAAGTTATGATTGATGAAATGAATGCCCTTCATCAGAATGGTACATGGGGTCTGGTCCCTCTTCCGTTTGGGAAATATGTTGTTGGTTGTCGCTGGATTTATGCTATTAAGGTTGGTGTTTATGGTCGAATGGATCGCCTTAAAGCTCGCTTGGTGGAAAAGGGTTTTACTCAGGTGTTTCGGGCTAGATTATGGTGACACATTTTTCCCTTGTGGCAAAAATGACTTCTGTTTTCCTTTTTATTGTCATGGCTGCTATACGCCAATGGTCTCTCTATCAACTTGATGTTAAGAATGTTTTTCTTCGTGATGATCTTGTTGATGAAGTTTATATAGAGAAATCTTCTGAATTTGTGCTCAAGGGGAGTCAGGTCTTGTTTGTCGTCTCTGTAAGTCTTTATATGGTCTCAATCAATCTCCACGAGCATGGTTCGGCAGATTTAGCAGTGTTGTTCGACAATTTAGTATGACTCAGAGTGAGGCTGGTCATTCTCTTTTTTTTGTCATTCAGCTTCTGGGTCTATCTACCTGGTGGTGTATGTGGATGATAGTGTCATCACAGGTATTGATAATCATGAGATTACTCAGTTGAAGCAACATTTATGTCATCACTTTCAGACTAAAGATATTGGGAAACTTTGATATTTCCTGGGAATTGAAGTGACCCAATCTAAAGATGGTGTTGTGATATCTCAGAGGAAATATGCTCTGAATATCCTTGAAGAGACTGCCTTGTTGAATTCTAAGTCTGTTGAGACTCTCTATAGATCCAAATGTCAAGCTTATAACAAATCAGGGGGAGCTCATTTCAGATCCCGAAAGGTATAGAAAATTGGTTGAAAAACTAAACTACCTCACAGTCACTCGGTCTGACATTTCATTTGCAGTTAGTGTGGAAAGTCAGTTTCTTAATTCTCCATGTCAAGAACATTGGAATGGTATTATTCAGATTCTCAAGTATACCAAGGCATCTCTAGGAAAAGACCTTGAATATAAAGATAAATATCATAAGTTGTTGGATACTCTGATGCTGATTGGGCCAGTTGTCCTACTAATAGGAGATTTACTACTAGATATGTCGTATTTGTTGGAGGCAACTTGGTTTCTTGGAAAAGTAAGAATCATAATGTAGTTGTCAAATTTAGTGCTGAAGCAAAATATCGCTCCATGGCTACTACTACATGTGAGCTCATTTGGATTAAGCAACTTCTTAGAGAGCTCAAGTTTAAAGACACTGGACCAGTAACTCATTTGTCACAACTAAGCAGCACTACATATTTCTTCCAACCTAGTGTTTCATGAAAGAATCAAGCATATTGAGATAGATTGTCATTTTGTTTGAGAAAATTTCTTGTTGGCGAAGTTATAACTAGTTTTGTACCCTTTAATAATGAATTAGCAGATGTATTTACTAAGTCGTTAAGGAGTGCTCGAATAGAGTATATATGTAACAAGATTGGTGCCTATGATTTATATGCTCCAGTTTAAGGGGGAGTGTTGGAAATAATATTGTAAATATATTTTCCTTATTAGTATTTAGGTTAAGTCTGGGTTAAACCCATTAGATTTTTTATTTATTGTGCACACTTGTACCTATTCAATATACGGATTATTTCACAATTCTTTCCGTCTCTTGTTATTCAATAATGATCTTACATTTGATGTAAGACACTAAGAAAAACGTATTGATTTGTATGTATGCATTTTCTTTATCACCTATATATTTTATTTGGTTAACATATATGAATATTAATTTTATAATTTAAAGGCTAATACAACAAAAACACTATCTCATTCTCATAAATCTTATCCTACTCGAATTGAATTTAAACTTTGTACATGAACATATAATTCTCATTATGTGCTAATTAAATATAGTAGATTAAAACAATCGAATGTCCGAGCGGTTGTAATTTTTCAACTTGTTTACACACAGGCGTTAACAAATTGGCCGGTTGGTTTAAGCCAGCAGGTTTAGCATCTCGGCTATGAATATGTTAAGGATATTGTTCTTTGTAAGGGTTATAAGAAATATAGCACACCAAGATCATAATGACTATTTCGGTATTTCCCATCGTGTAGGGAATAGTATGATAATATAGCAGTAGGTAGTGCTGGAGAATTATAATATGGTGGGCCTTACTTGATGTATGAGCCGAAAGCAAGAATAAGAATATAAGACACATGCACAAAGAGAAAATGGAAAATGGATCAATGCTATTCCGTAAATAAGCATTGAGGGGTTCCCGGTCCAGAATAGACAAAAGCGACTGATCCAATAAAAATACATTATATTATGCTTTGTAAATAAATATAAAATCATATGTTTTTAAAATGTTTTTTTCAAATAGTTATATAATAATTGTATTCTCACGTAAGCTTTTGTTAAGTAAAGTTAAGTATTTTTTCAAGAATTTTTTTTGATTTCCCAAACAGTTTATTAATTATCCAATTAATCCAACTTTATTCAACTAATTCGACTTAATCACCGTAGTACACATTGAGATAACTCTCAAAATTATTTTTTTATTTTCCCCAAAAGCTCTGATCAATGAAACAAATTCCGTATAATATGTTTTGAATTTAAACTAACAAGGACATACACTATGCAATTCGTCAAATATTTAAATTTATAAGTAGAAGTTCTAGGGCCACGCCGCATCTTGTTAAAAATTAGTAGATAAAAGCTGTGGTGAAGAGGGTGAGTAGTTATGTAATAAGTTGTGCATTCAATTTCTCATTTTATCCAAAAAAGAGAGAGTAGATAAGCATTTATTATGATACACTATTAAAAATAATGATTAATACAAAATTATTTTCTTTCGTGTAATACTAACGAGCACCCCATAGAAGTTAGAACTAGCCTCACGCGAACTCAAGACATCCAGCATCTAGCGTGCCACCGCGTCATCATCGAACCCACATTTGAGATGGTGCACCTTAATTGCCACTCATATTATATATCCATTTCCCTCAGATATTTGTTTAATATAGATGCAGATTTTGTTCAATTCAGGCAAAATTCCAGGTAATAAATCTAAGTTTGCTTAAATTAAACTCATTCCCGTGCATATATACTCATGCAAATATGGTATCGAATCAATGTTCGCTCATTACAGTCCAAGGAAAAGCTCCGAGCTATGACAAACACTAGGAAAGGGCAAACAAATTTCCTACTGACAAGACTGTTTACAAGTAATCACCGTTTTCAATATCCGTCCATGTGAGGGGTGATGGGCACTTTTGATGGCATGTAGCTTGGACTCAACAGTTTTGAAATGCTTACTTTGTCAAATTCAAAGCCAAAACTCCCAAGTGTGAAAAGGCAACACTCTTCGATTAGCAACAGTACTAGTAATAGAAGAGTCATTAACAGTGAGCATTACTCATATGTTGGAACAAATAAAACCCATCCAAGTATATGCTATCCCTGAAGGCCAAAAGATTCAGAGTGGCATAAAATTAGATTTTCATGATGACGTGATCATCGTGACCCTATGACCTAGTTCTTAGATTCACGGCAAGGTGTGTCCTGACTATATGGCAGCATCAGGGTCCAATCTTCTCTGGATAGCGGCAGCAGCCTATAGTGATAAATTTGCAGCTAATTGAGTAGGGGCTCAAAAGCTAAAATCCATGATCCAAATAAAGTTTAATGTGATTCTTACCTCAAAGTTTCCAAGCTTGTATTGGTAAGCCATCTCTTCCCTGAGTTGAGCTTGCTCTTTCATTGCCTGTGCCTGTAAATTATTGCACACAAATGTATCAAAAGGACCTTGCCATTAACAAAGTAACTAGAAGTTAACTCGCCATAAAAGCAATCCGGTTATAACTAACCATTCCACTTTCCATAGAGTGCTTTAAAGCCATCACTTGCTCTTCCTTATGCTTTTCACGTGCTTGCAACAATTCTAGCCTGCAAGTGCAATGAAAAATCATTATGGAAGGGTGAAACAATTTGGGCCAACAGAGACAATGCTTGTCATGTGTACCATCTCCCATTTGAAAGAGCATGAAAAGAAAGTTAAGAATTTGACATAAGAATATATAAAATATATTCCATATGGACAATGTTTTAGAGATCATATTCTGACACAATTGTGATGAAAGCTTCAAGTAGTTTAATATCGGTAGATTTGTGCAAATGAAAAGCAGTGACAAAGAGTGGAAAGAAATAAGGAGTTATTAAAAAATCTTACATAAAAACAGAACAAGAAGATAGCCAACATTTTTGCTTCTTAAGCAAATAGGCAAAATAGCAGTAGGATTGGTGTAAGTTAAAGGGAAAAAAATAGCCAAAAGGAAACCTATTTAAGAATACATTAGTAAAAGCAGCATGTAACCTGCGCTGTTCTTCATCATTGAAAACAGTACGTTCAGTTGCCAGGACCTTTTTAAAACCCTTTTTCATCTCTTTTTCCATTTGACGCCTGTAGTAAGCATCAAGATTGTAGTACCTGCCACATAAAGATTAATCCAATTGTCAACCCCAATAAATATACCAAAATGATTCATTCAAGATCTTAAATCCATGTCATCTTTGCAGAACGAGTTTTCATTGATGTGTATGGCAAAGATATACCACAGGACAAAAATATTCCCAAAAAACAAATAAAAGGTATGTGGCCACAGATTATTTCTTATTTACAAAAATGAGGACAAAGGTCTCTACAGATTTAAATAAGCTAAACTAAAACTCTGCAGGAACTTACTTTTTAGAAGGGAAGGTAGTTGTGTTGTGATCCTCCATGAATCTGCATATCAGAAATCAGATTATTAGATGTAATGACTAATATGTGAATATTCAATGAGACAACAAGTCAATCATGTTGGGAATGAAAGAAATTAATGTGAGCATATACGAGTTCTTTTTCTCTTATGCACCGCCTTAAGAGTAAGCTTAACAGTTAACACACAGCAAGTTAATGTGCTATTTCTTTTCTCTTTTTTTTCTTTTTTTTCCCCATCCTTCTTTCATTTTATTTTATTTATTTATTCTCTGAGCAGCAAGTTTAGGATCTTACTCTTTGAACATCTGCTTTTCTTCCCAATTAGACAGATTCTCCAGATTCACCTGTTAAAATACCGCAATAGTTACAATTTAGGTATAGTCCACATAACCATGACATACATGTAAGTTAGGACATCAATAGATGAAGGGAAAAAGATTTGCTGCACTTCTTTTTAAAGGAGGAAAAAATGTAGTCCAACTGGCCAAGTCCAACAGGCAAGAAAGAAATGTTATCCAATTTGTTATGAAAATGTGGTTTCCACTATACTGGATACAAGACCAATAGTTCATGTGTAAACTACATGGAAAACATTTCTTGAGATAATGTAAAGAAGCAAACTTAATTTTTTGCAAGAATGGAGAGAAGGCCACAAAGAAAAAGGAAGACGAGATATGATATATGTCGCAAGGTTGCAGACAATAGAAAGTAGACCAAAATAATCACCTGCTTTACTTCTGCCAACCATGCAGTGAACTCTGGACGTTTGTTCCTGTAACAGTCATAACATCACTCACAGAAGGGAACAGGAGACCCTTAGATCACAAGATATAAAAGCCAAATTAGCTAGTTATTAAATTCAGAGTCAACTTAAAAAAATGCAAGCCATTTATTCACTTCACATTACTTTTCCCACTTTACTACTTAAAGATCTTCTGATATTCGTAATTGATAGTTTGATACCATGAAATTGAGAGTTAAGACTCTTAAGATAAATTAAAGTTTCCACAAGGAAATTAAATATATAACCATAATATCCACTCAACATGTTAACAATCTAAGAGTCTTTCAGTTACTTCAGCTTATAAACAGAAAAATACATTTTCCTAAAAGTAGAATCTTGCTGAAGTTTCGACAAGAGACAACAGCACCAATAAACCATCAATAGAAAGTGCAATGCTACGTTATAACCCTTGAAACAATAACCCCAGTTGTGAAATTTCTGCTGCTTTTATCCCAAGCAAAGCCCTACATTAAATAAAATAAACTGGTCACTGGTCACCTTGCTTCCACCAGCAACTGCTTTTATCTTCCAAGATTCCAGAAGTTGTGTCATGGTGGCATTAGCCAACAAATTTCAAAATTTTAGAAACCCTTAGACCAGAAATCATAATCAGGACAGCAAAGTATAACCTAATGTCTATGAATCCTCCTCGATGAAAGACAAAAGTTCACAATAACCATTGCCCCTCCAAAGATTCTATATTTTCAGCACATATTTAAGATTTCAGTCCAATAGACAGTAAGTTGTAAAGTTTAGTTAAAATAGGACATTTCTGAGTTTTTAAAGCATATACAACTTTCTCTCCATGATCAAATACGATGCAAAGATAGATTATTTATAGTATGCTGGAATTTTGTTGAGGAATTGTGTTCATTCTTTTCATTCCTCTTTGGCTCTTTCTGTTTTCCATGTCAAGAGAACATCCTGTTAGTAGTTATTAGTTATTACTCTTCTCCAATCTTACATGGTTCACATAACATTGTGAAAAGTTCAACAATGATCAAAAACTTTTTGAGTTTTGATGCTCAAATTTATCATCTTTCAATGAAATTCTACGACCTTGTGTAATCACACGTCTACTAATCACATAGTAATCTTATGCAATTACATATAACGCACATGTAAGCCAAGAATTTCAAAATCTACATTCTACAACATTGTTAGTTTGTCACAAACAATCAAGCAGCCTCCATGACCACACAATTCAATCATTATTATTAATCATAAGACACATTCATCTTTCACATTTTAATCAGTAAGCAAGTAAATACATACATTAAAGCATAAATCTCTTACCACATATCAGTTTCTCTTATAACACCATACTTTCCCCAAGAATTTGTCACTGCTCCTTTTTTCCCTCTATCCTCCTTCTCCTTCTTCTTCTTCTTCCGCTTCTCTTTCTTCCTTCTCTCCTCTTCCTTCTCCTTCTTCCGCTTCTTCCTCTCCTTCTCTTTCCGTCTCCTATATCTCTCTTCCTCACGCTCTCTCCTTCTCCTCCTCTCCTTCCTCTTCCTCTCCTTCCTCTCTTCCTCGCTCTCTGACACCGACTCGGAACACTCCGAATCCGAACCGGTCCGCTCGGACTCATCGTCCTCAGAACCCGATCCCGAACCGGAATCCGAATCCGATTCGCTGCTGTAGCGCCTCCGAGATTTCTTCTTCCTCCTCTGAGCTTTCTCGCCGTCCGAATCCGAGATTTTTCTCGCTTTCCTCCTCGAACTGCTGTGCTTTCTCTTGGTTTCCGAGTCTACATCCGAATTTTCTGGCGCTTTCGCCGAATCTTTCTTTGAAGGAGCTTCGTCTTTCTCAGAGCTCGCAACCTTTTTCGGCAGAGCATCGTGTCCGTTTCCATCTCTCGCCATTTTCGTCTAGCTCTAACCTTCGAGTTTCGCAGTGAGTCAAGTCGCAGGGTTGAGTCGTTAACTCGGGAAACAAGGAGCTCTTTGGTGGATTCCGATTAAATGGGCTTGGATCGAAGCCCAATCTCTGTATGGGCTATCTATTTTAGTGGGTTTTCATTAGAAGATGGCCATATGTTCAAGTCAAGCTTTTGGGAAGAAAAAATATGGTAAATTAAAAAAATAAAAATAAAAAATAAGACCAAAGGCTCACAATAATAAAGAGCCACATGATCAAAAGTTTTATGAGTTATGGATAACTTAGGGGAGTTACAATTTCAATTTATATATATATATATATATATATATATATATATATTATTTTTATTGAATTCAATGGATTCAAAACCATTTTAATAAAAAAATTTAAGAGTAAATACCTTTTTTCGTCCGTGGAATTTTTTGTGAAGCACAATTTAGTCCCTTGGTTTAAAAAAGTCACATTTCAGTGTCTGATTTTTGAAAAAAAGGGACACGTTTATCCTTCTGTTAAATCCAATGTGACGGCCCACTTGACGGACGCCAGCTGGAACGTTAAGTGGCTGAGTCACTAACGTCCTGGCCACGTGGAGAGAAAACAACGTCGTTTAGATAGGTCCCTTGTGTCTAGTTGGATGTTTGGACATGTGACCATTGCATGAAAGGGTGAGTGACCCAATATAGTCCCTGTCAAATTAGAAACCCTAAATCAGCCTAAGAATAAAAAAAAACCCAAAACATAATTTGTTGAAGATTGAAAATAGTGTCAAGTAGAAGGTGTTTACTGGCTATTTTCTGGTGCGTAGAAGAAGATGAGTATGTCATCTGGCTTGGGGGGATGAAGTGGGACTACGTCTTTTGGGTGTAGAACAACCTGACGGAATGGAGGTCGAAGGTGCAAGATGTTGGTGAGCAAGAACTGAGTATGAATGTGCAGGAAAGAATGCTGTGATGATTGCAAGTGTTGTAACAATGAAATGTTATGTACGAAATGTAGTTTTTCTTCAATGAAATTGAATGACTTGTTGACAACTGCGATGAATAAAGTTGAGAAGATGCAATGTAGTTCTGTTATTTGGGCTATAAAATGTGTTTATGTGTATAATGCTAACTTCATGATTTAATACAGTAAATGTCAAATTTGTTTCCGCAAATGGGAATTTGAGAACTGGATATTGGAACCTAATAATTTAAACTAGACCCCAACTTAGTCCCTGGAATTATGTATCGAGGGCCAAATAGGTCCTTGAAAAATGCTAGCGGGGCACATTTTGGTCCCTGACAGTTAAAATTTGGACATGACCTGTTTAGACTAAATTGGACACAAGCTGCAACTTAAAAGCTGCATTTTAAAACCTGCATTTTAATCCATGACACATTGGATTGCAGCATAAGCCAGATTGCAGCAAATGACAGTACAAAATTGAATTCAGCAAAGGAACTTGTAGTAAAAAATGCAGCAAAAGAAACTTGTAGTCAATAAAGATATCAGACAGTACAGAGACGTAATGCAGCAAAAATTGGACATGAACATATTGCATTGAAATGTGTCCAAACAGCAACGACCAAAACCCAAACATGGACCACCTGCATTGTAGCCAGAATCAAAAAGACTCATACAGAAATTCAAAAATCACCATACAGATACATATTGCAGCAAAGGGAAAAATTGATATAAAAAAGGAACTTGTAGTCATTCATAATGGAACTTGTAGTCAGTTACAATTCAAAACTCTTCCATCATAATTAAAGGCCTGCCAGAACTTATGGTCCACATAAACCATTCTAAACCATCCTTCAAACTATTCCCCTGTTGTTTTTTTTTGCTTCAAAATACTCCCAGACAGAGACATATTGTGATTCAAAAAAAAGCATATACTTCAGTTAAATGTCTTAAATACAAAAAAATGGGGGTACCAAAAAATACAGTCATGAACATTGTTGCCTATACAACAAAAAAGTGAACCCCTATACAAAAAAACTGTATCCAACAATCATTCAAGCTAGTTTTGGTGGCCTAAACCCAGGTGTGGCCATGAATGCCATAAGCCTGCTCCTTGTGCCACTGCTTGTTGCATTGACAGTTTCAGTTGACAATTGTTCTGCTGGTGGTGGGGCTGTAGGTGGTGGGCTGTTGCCCCTAACGGCTTCCTCAGGTGCCTGGGACTGCGTTGAAGGTCTTCCTTGACTCAGAGGGATCTCCTCTTCATTTGGAGCTGCTATGTTGACATTAACTGCATGTGAAGGTGCTGTTGCTCTCCTCCCTCTCTTGCTTGTAGCTGGTCCCTTACAGGTCTTGGCATAATGACCAGATTGCCCACATTTAGCACAAACTGCAGCATGTGCCCTCTTTAATTTTTTTGTTTTGCTGACTTGCTCCTCAGTTTCATCCTTCTTCCAATGCTTTTTGGGACGGCTAATGTGCCTCTGGCAAGTGTGGTTTTTCTGTGTTAAAATTGATTAGAATTGAGTCATAAGACAACAATTTAAATAAATATTTGCTATTTATATTGATTCTTTCTATGTCAATAATATTCACCTTTTGGTTGTGTTTTTACAGGAAAAAGAGGAGTGAAAATTACAAATTATAAAAATCCTCTTAATGCAACTACACACGGAATGTATCACAGTACAAATGCCAGCGGAATGGCGCAGACTGGCGCCACACCGGCGCAAACTGGCGCCGGATTACGAACTTTGCAGCGGTCAATTTTGAGTGGCGCTCAGTGGCACCAAAGTGGCGCCAATTGGCGCCACATTCATCAGCAAAATCATGGCGCTAACAGGCGCCCAAGTGGAGGAAATCTTGGCGCCACTAGGCGCCCAAAGCAAAGGGAAATTGGTGCCAAGTGGCGCCCAAAAGGTGAAGGATGGCGCCAACTGGCGCCATGTTACGAAGAATTCAGTTCTGGCTTTTCTTTTAAGACAGAGGTGTGGCGCCGGTTTGCGGGAAATTATACCGTGCTGTTCTGGGGGTATTTTTGGAAGAAAGAAAAGAGGATTATAAATAGGATCCTTATGACAGAATTAGGGATTCAGACCTATTCTTCTGAAGAGAGACGACGGCAGAGCTCCGAGAGGATTCCTGGGATCAAGTTCTTCTTCTCTTTTCTCCTTAATTTTATGCTTTTGAATATTGGATTATTTTTAGCCATGATTATGCTTCGCTAGTTCTTTTTATTGTAGTTAGGGTCACGAGCCCTATGTGAACCCTTTTTACCCTGGATTGATTTATAATTCTTCGTTTATATAATTATCTTTATCTCAACCCTGTTCGTAATTTATATTTTCTTTATTAGAATTGATCACTCTAATAGTTTATAATAGTCTGAGGGTTAGAACCCTAGATAGGGATATTGGGGTTTTCATCCTGAAAGGGGGTAGGATAACGGTTCGTATGCATGCTAGGAATAGATGTGTATTGAATTGCGGATGTCTAAATTATTGAGTTCATTGCTTAATTTTCATGAGGGGTTGCTAAGGGATTAGGATTCCAATTGAGATTAAAGGGTTAAATTGCCAAGAGATTGAGATTTAACTAATTATTTTAGATAATAATGTATCCGAGTAATTTTATAAATGAATATTGTAAATCAATCCAAAGTAAGAAGTGAGGATCATAAGGTGAGTGCGCTCTAGCTACAATATTTTTCTCATATTTTCAAAACATCAATTCTTTTTATTATTCTTTTTCTCATAATTAAAAATACAAAAACAAGTCATTATTTTCAGTTTTCGATTTCACACAAATTGACAATATTTGTCAAAACCATTTGAACTCATCCATTCTTGAAAGGACTATTAATTGATATACGATCATAGTCCCTGTGGAGACGATACTTTACTTACTATCTATATTACTTGTGCGATCGGTATACTTGCCGGTGAGCATCAACGGCTAATAGGCCTTTTCAGTGGTGGAGGAATGGGTTTAGGCGCAGATGAAGCAGGCCAATACTATTCCGAATTTATAGGGTTCAAGGTATGTGCATAAGTGACATGCAAAGCATCCACTGTCAGCCATTGATGGACATAAAGCTCTGCTGGTTCATTCTTGTGGCATATTGCAGCAATTGCATGCTCACACAGCATTCCTGTGAGCTGCCAGACATTACATGCACAAGTCTTGTAGGTAAGATTGACACCAACCCTTTCACCCTTTGCAGTCACTTCATATAAGTCTTGCTCCAAGTTCCCTGTCCAAATTGGTGTCCAGGAGTTGCTTAACACCTTCAATTGATCCAGCTTTTTCTGTTGAGCTGGGGCAATTTTACCCCTAACAGTACCCAGAATTCGTTGATGGGCAGCCATTCTCATCATGATATAGCATCTCAATTCTTCACATAGGCTGACAATGGGCTTGGACCTGTATGCAACAATTTTTGCATTCCACACCTCAGCCATGTTTTTGGTTATATTGTCACACTTGGGCCAGTGACTAAAATATGCCTTAACCCAGCATGAGGGGTGAATCTTGTTGAGGTATGCCCAAGCATCTTCATTCAACTCCTTCAATTTATCCATTGTTCTTTGGAATTGGGGCACAGTTGTGCATTGTGCAGCCTCCCATACTATTCCCCTAATGGCTTTGTCCTTCCATTGCTTAGTAAAATTCTTCCACACGTGCTGTACACAGAACCTATGATGGGCACCAGGCATGACCTCCTGTAATGCTGGTATCAAACCCTGCATTCATATATCAAGCAACAACAAAAGTGATCACACATGGCTAGTAATGTACAACTTTTAAAAAAGGAAAATACCTTTGAAAAAAACATACCTTTTGCTGATCACTTATAAAGTTCCATCCATGCACTTCACAACTGCCAATGTCTTCTTGTAGCAAGGTCAGAAACCACTTCCAATTTTCTTTGGTCTCATTGTCAACAACTGCAAAAGCAATGACATAAAAGCTCTTGTTTGCATCATCTCCCACTGCACTCAATAGTTGTCCCCCATAGTAACCTTTCAAGAAACATCCATCCAATCCAATCAATGGTCTACAACCAGCTTTGAATCCTTTCTTGCAGGCATCAAGGCAGACATACAGTTTGTTAAAAATTGGTGGGCTGTTAGGGACTGGTTGTGGAATTACTTGCATCTGGCAAGTGGAGCCAAGGTTGCTCCTCAAAAGTTCAGCTAGGTAGTCCCTTAGCTTGCCATACTGTTCCTTTTCACTTCCTTCTATGTTTTTCTTGGCCTTGTGTAGTGCCTTCCCTAATTTCTTCAGATGAACATGGACCTTGTACTCTTCCTTTAAATGCTCATAAGCCTCGACTCTTGTCATATTGGGCTGTGTGACCAGCCTTTTCTCCAACTTTGCAGCAACCCAATCCCTGGTGGCCCTTTTATTTTTGAAAATTCTACAGCAGGTGTGGTTGTCATTGAATGTCTTGACTTGGAAACAATTGAATTTGTTGCTCCAAGAGCAATATATCATCTACTCACAGTCAGCATTTGAGCACTTGGCTCTTGATCCTACCTTGTCATTCTTAAGCCATACAAACTGCCTCCCAAGACTTATATTGTAGTCTTTGACACCCTGTTTAAAGTGCTCCAAACTGGCAAACTCCATTCCAAGCTCGAGCTGTACTAGACCAAAGGGTTGCTCCTCATTAAACTTGGGAAACACTTCCCTCTCAACCTCCTCATCCCCACTTGAAGGTGGAGTCTTCAATTCTTCAGAATTGTAACCATAGCCCTGATCTTCAAATGACATATTCTACTCATCCTCTGAATCCTTTTCTTCCCTGTCACTCTTGTTAACTGTCTTTTTTCCTTATTTTCTTTCACCTTCTTTTTCAATGCAATAATTGGTTCATCATCTGTTTCGTCTTCAACACCCGGTGGCGGAGGCTTATAAGGCTCGTCTTCTACACTGTCATATGAATCACTTGATAGTCCATTGCCCTCCCTCTCTTCATATTCATCATCATGAGTCATATGGGAGTCAGACAAACTGTCAACTGAATCACCTAATACCCCCTCCTCATCAGCACTTTCAGGAAGAGTTGGATCTGTAGGCCCACCCAAAATCTCCGGAATTGCAATGCAACCATCAAAATATATGTCTATTTTGTTCCCATTACTTAAGGCAGCCTTGACCATTTGCAAAACATCAGAATCCTTTTCAAGAAGATGCAACCCAACCTCTAAATCACTCTCACTAGGCTTCAACCACCACATCCGCCTACATTTGTGGTAACCATACCCCTTGAACAGAGCTTCAAGGTCACGAAGGTTTACATAGTCTGCATCCATTTCTGGTAAATCATCCACTCTCCCATTCACATAATTCAGCTTCCCTTCATCATTCCTAACCAACACACCCCCATGATGATATCTCATGACTATATACTCATCCATCTGCATATAAAACATAACATAATCATTTTTTACACTACCATCATATTAATTTACAATATCATACAACTAATCAATTTTTATCAATATTAGACACTGTCATAAAAGTAACACACTCGATTATTTTAAATGGCTGCATTGCTAACAAATTGGGGCTTTTTTTTGTAATCACTAGACATAGCAACTTAAAATAACAACAGGGGGACCACATGCAATTAATGGTTCCAAAAATATTCTACCAAAGGGGACCACATAAAAAAAAAACCCTAACTATGTCTTGCCCTTAACCGCACATGGGGGACCACTTGACGGACAAATGACATTTTTAAACACCATTTTAAATAGGAAAGAGGGACCACAGATAATAAAGAAAGGAAAGAATCTCACGTACCTTGCACGAATGTAACCAGAGACACAACCGATTTAAGGATCTTCACCCTAAACCACACTACTTCCAAAAGCTTGCAACTTCAGAAGCCACGTACATCAACAAAGCACCCTGGGTCACCAACCTTCACCGCAAATGAAGCTCACGATCTGAGGAAATGGGGGAGGAAATGGCGGGTATGGACGACTTACTTGTGTGACTGTGTCAACTGAGTCAACAACAAAGGTTCAACTCACATGGCATTCCTCAAACGACGTCGTTCCCTTTCTACACACCTGATACAGCCTTCCAATGTAATACGACGTCGTTCCTTTCTCTCCACGTGGCCAGGACGTTAGTGACTCAGCCACTTAACGTTCCAGCTGGCGTCCGTCAAGTGGGCCGTCACATTGGATTTAACAGAAAGATAAACGTGTCCCTTTTTTTTCAAAAATCAGACACTGAAATGTGACTTTTTTAAACCGAGGGACTAAATTGTGCTTCGCAAAAATTTCCAGGGACTAAAAAGGGTATTTACTCAAAATTTAATGCTTTCGTAAAATATTTTAAAAAATATATATATTTTTTATAATTTAATTTTTTAATAAAATAATACTTTCACACAAATATAAAAGTTAAATGTAAGAAATTTTTTATTTATTTACTATATAATTCTTGAATAGTTGGTTCTATATAAGAATAATGATATTATTATTAAATAATACTTATATTGAATATTTTTATTAATTGATAATAACGATTTGATTTTTTAGTAAAAACTAGTTAAACAAGACTTTGTTTACAACTCTCAACTTTTCTAGTGTAATAACGGTTACCAATTAATGATTAATAGTTAGTAGTTAATTTCAATATTTCTCCTTTTCATTTTATAAATCTTGTCTATAAAATTGTGACAATTGATATGCTACTGAATGGATGAGATTCATCACATGACATGATCATATTAATATTAGATATGAGAATATTTATGATTTATGACTATTGTGCCCCTCATTAATTAAAAAATAACTAATTTTCCCCTAACTCAAAATATTCCACTAATTTACTAATTTATCCATGTTTAGTCGTTGCCTTAAGGTTTAATCGATTATACCACAGACATAATCGATTAAACCTTCAAAAGACCGTTGACCCGCAATATAATCGATTATATTGTGAAAAATTATTGAGAAAAAAAGAATAGAAATTATTGAAAGAAAGAAGAAGCAAAAGGAGCATAAAGACATGCACTGCTGCTAGAATTAGAGCAGAGAAAGCGGCGAGAATGACCTATCTGTCTCGAGCAACAAGGTCACACATTTTGGCGAGAGCACACCACACGGTCACCAGTTGAGCCAGTACCCTCAACGTCGACATCGTCAGAGAAGTCTCTGCACAATAGACCAAGAATAAGAACTAAAAGCCATTATTAAAGTCATTCCCCTATGGTCTTCGATAATCATAATGTCACTTAACATTTTAGGCTCATTTGGATTGCAAGTTCTTTGATGGTAATAATCATATTTACAATATTTTTTATAATAGCTCTTTATGACCGTGTCATTATTTCTCTAGCATCAAAGCTCAGAGGCAAACCAATTACGATCAGTGCCAGGAGAAAAATGGGAATTGGGTTATTTTTCTCTTTTCTTCACTTCATAATTGCAGCAATTGTAGAGACTACAAGGCGAAGAAGAGTAATCATGGAGGGATCTCATTAAATTACATGTTTTCTATTTTTCGCAAGGTAATCCATTACTTAAATAGATTATATTGCAAGTCAACACTTAAAACTTCTTTTTTAAGGTTTAATTGATTACGGTCGTGATGTGTAAGAACCCGCACCGTTAATTAAGGAAATTAATTAATTAATTATGAGAAAGTAAGAAATGATTTCATAATTGACCCTAATAATTATGATAAGGCTTAATAATATTGGAAAGTGATTAATAATGCTGAAAGTCGCTTTTCTGACGAAAAGTGCAGATAGCGGTTTTGCTACTCGGTATAAATGCGTACCGATGAAGTATCCCGGAAAATTATAATAAGTGCATGAATATTTCTAGAATAATATGTAGGACTGTGATTTCAAGTTTCAAGGTAAAATAATGAGAACTGGTGCCAGAACTGATACTGGCTATGTAAAAGCGTGTACCGAAAAGGTGCTGCGAAAAATAAAATAAAAATCAATCTTAGAAAAATGAGTAGGTTCAGAATCCTAAGTTTGGGATTAAAATGCTAATCGTAGCTATTATTGTTAATACTGGGTGTCTAAACTTAAACTGCCTATATATATGCTCTTTTGGCACTAAACCCTAGGTATCATTTCTGTTGTTACGTGAGTGAGTGGCTGATCAGTTTCCCTTCACTGTTCCATTTCCTTTTCTTCCCCTTTTGTGAGCCAAGATACCATTTTTCTTCCTCTTCCCTTCACCTAAACACTCTAGCTTGTGGGAGTTGGTCTTGTGAGGATGAGGAGTGTCTCATTTCTGAGATTGTGGTCTCTGCGGTGAGGTGGAGTTGCTGTCTTGGAGCTGTCTTCTTGGGGTTTGAGGTGGTGTGAGCCTTGTTCATACCATTGGAGGCTCCAAGAAGTCTTTTTGTTGGTGAAAGGTCTAAGCTTTTGGTGTTAATTCGTGGCTCGACAAAGTCAGTGTTGTTGTGCTGTGTAGAGGACCCCTAGTATGCCTCATTTTCGGAGTTTTGGAGCCTTAGAGGTATTCATGATCACCTCTTTATCATTTTGATGATTTAAGCTTGTTTAATCGGTTAAAAAGTAAAACTAGGATAATTTAAGTAAAAGAAATGTGTTTCTGAGTTCTTAACATGCTTATGAATATCTGTTTAGGGAGTCATTGGACTCCCAATCACATTTGTACCCTTAAAAATGGGTTTATGCAGCTCTCTGTTCGAAATTCTGCATTATGTTGGAGAAGTATTCGAATACTTTTCGTGTAGTATTCGAATACTTGTCCTCAGGTAGTCGAATACTCCTTGGTGGAGTATTGGGATACTTTTCTGGGAAGAAAAGTATTCTGATACCTATGAAGAAGTATTTGAATACTGGAAAGTATTCGAATACAGTGGATTTTGGTATTCGGAGACTGTGGTATTCAGATACTTGGGGTGTTGGTATTCGAATACCTTGTGGTATTCGAATACTTTAGTGAAAGTAATCGAATACTTTCTGGAGACAAGGAGTATTCGAATACTCATCGGGGAGTATTCGAATACCTCCTGCAGAAACAACATAAAATGACTTAAAATGAGATGGAAAGCCTTAATCACTTAATGTAACCTTGGTGAATGGTTATTGATGATTATTACTGTATAAACAGATTGTGATTGTGCTGTTTGTGGGCTTTGAGCTAGTGTGAGCTTGGCTTGGATAGTTAGCTTGCGAGGTAAGCTTTCATGTCATCGGATTAGCCATTGTTTGTTCCACCATATCCCATGGGGGGGATGGTTTATATGCATGATGTGTTTTCATGTACTGTTTTATTGAAATGCTATGGAGCTATTAAGTGCAAAATGCTTATGATATGTATGTGGTGTTT